GGACTTGTAGAAATGTCACTGTTGTTTATCCTTTGCTAAAGCCAACTCTTAACCTACGATCATACAAGGGAAGCTTATCTTTTACGTGAATAGGCAGAAGAAGGAAGAATTCTGTGAACTTAATAATTAGCAATAAATCTATTTTAATTTAAAAGTAGATATGTTAGTATGTCTAACAACCTTGACACATATGTCTAAATCCATTATTATTGTTCGGGAGAGAGATTTGTCACATCACAGTTTTGTTCCCAGATTTCCACGTTTTTGAAATTGGTTCTGCTGGCTGCTGCCACCGCCAATGTTTCCAACTGTCACGCAGCAGGGCTGTTTCCAAGAAGCAGAAGTGAACAGTGGGTTTAGCTGCAGTACATAGTTACAGCAACTAATTAAGAGAGTTTGTGACTCCCAGTAAGTGTGTGCAGAGGATTCTTATGAAGTCCATGATAAAGAGATGCAGTCTGTTATAGAGCGTGGTATCCTTGCAAGCTCTTTGGATTGCTCCTGATATTGTTAATGGGGAGTCACAGTCTGCCTTCAGATAGGCAAATCTGAAGCAGAATCTCACACTGCTTTTGACAGGATGTATGTGCATACATTTAAAGAAAGAATTAATCTTTGTATTTTCCTGGGCTTCATCTCTGTCTTTGACTCAATAGGATCACGATCTGCCAGTGCTAGAGTTAAGAGAGTGTTATATAGTTCTCATACTACCACTCTACTCAGAGGAGCTATCTGAAATTGTCACCTTCTTGCTCATCATTTCTGTTGTGTCTGTAATCCTGTAATTACAGGTCAGGGTTGCTAACTTCCAGGGCAGAGATAAGTTTTTATTGCTGCTTATTCCCCATAACTTTGCAGAGCCACTGCAGCTCTGAGAGGGAATTGCATTCTGTCCATCTCCATGTATCATTAGCATTGCTCTCCTGTCTTTCAGTGCTGTTTTTTCCTCACTGGTGATGTCAGAACTGTTTAAGTTGCTATTTTGAATTTCAAATCCCACTTGAACTTGTCAGAAGAGCAAAATCTATGGGATTTTGAAAAACTGTCCCCTACATAGCACTGAAAAATAAGAACTATTAGCACTACTGGGATAGTATTTGTTAGGGGTATTATTTTCTGCATCACTTTAAGTTTGGAAGTGTTACAAAAAAGTTATTTATGGCCTTCAACTTTGGCCTGTGAAAGGAGCAGTACCAACTTCCAGCTCTTATTTGAATCATAGAACTTCCCCAAAGGTTTGGAGACAAGGGCAGACTTTCAGGTTTCTCAGAAATAATAGTTTATCTGAATTATTTTGAATTAATGACAGCAAACTTTACTTTCCCTGCAAGTTAGTTGTGGTGCAGGTTTCTTCGCACTGTAGCTATGCTTGTTTTGACACATGAAGTTTTCTTTAGGTCTACTTCATAATACTTTATTTAGTCAGTTTAGAGCTTTAGGGTTTGCTTTTTTTTTTGTGCTCCATAATCAGTCTACATTCAAAATATATATCATAAAAGAGGAAGCTGAAGACTGGTTTGCATTGTTAGGAATCATAAAATGAAATATCACAAGGTTTCTCTTTCTTTAATGGTGGATGAAAAGATTAGTGTATGAGACAGTTCTGTAATGTGTTTCATTTCATATGGTGTTTCTCTGATAGCACTGTTATTCTGTTATCATCCCTAATGACTGTAATGCATTGAGTCACAGTGTTGTTTCTTAAAAGCTTTCACCTTTTCGTTGTTTGTTCTCAAGGTTACATTATGCAAAATACAATGTTATATTTTGTGCACTAGTTCAGGCTGTATAAAAATATTTTTAATCTTTTTATGAAAATTGAAATAGATCTGTTCTGGGGAAGAGTCTTTATGCCTGTTTCAAGTATTCCTAGCTGCTATAATGAACTGCTGTTTCTTCCTCTGTCTGAAAAGTTATAGGTCATGTGTCTTGACTTTAAAATTATTCAGAGGTGGTAATTCTTGCATGCTCTTGCATTGGTAATTTGGTTTAGCTATTCACCATGAATTGCAAACCACTAAGAATTATCAAAAGGTAGTTTTGTTGTTTAAATAATTTTGAAGATGAAAGAGAACTTTTTCTACTTCACCATAAATGTGAGAAAAGTCAAGGTAAAAATATGAGGGAGGTACGAAGAGAGGAAAGGACAGACTTCTTATTTTATTTCAATGGATTTGCATTATGGATAAGAATGAACAAGCGAGTTGAATTAAATACATTATTCAAAACTACTGTTTTGGTTTGATTAAAACTCTGCTCTACCAATCATTTTCATTACTGTGCCACTTTGGTTTTTTTCTTTACTTTCTGATGAGGTAAGGCACTGTGTCTTTTAATGATTTGATAATGTTCCCTACAGAGCTTTTATCCTAGTTAGCTGCAGCCTTTGGCCCCTTTTGTGGTATTTGTTGCACCCAAAAATCCTACTGAAGATATGTCAGAATTGTGAGTGCTCAGCTCCACCATCAGCGTGAACATGCACTTTGCTGCGGGTGGCACAGGTGTGGTTTTGTCTCTGTGCTGAAGCCCTTGGCCTAGTAGACTCTGGTAGGAAGAATGTGTTTAGTGCAGAAGAAGGTATTAGAAAACTTAGTAGTTAACCAGGTTAATATTTACCACGATTCTTTTGTGCGCTTAAACCTTGGCTGTAAATCTATGCTCCTGCCTTTTCCTCTGTGAACTACTGAAATTCTTCTAAAACTCATTAATACCCAATACTGAGGGTATTAAACAAAACAACAAACCTCCCCACCAAAAAAACCAACTAAACAAAAAACATGAGCTGTAATTTTTTTTCTGGTCTCACTTCACCTTTCCTGAAGTTTGTCCCAAAATAGTCAATCTTACATTGATACTGGAACAGGGCAATTTCTTTGATTTCTTTTTTTTTTCCCCCTCCAACTTTTAAAATAAGGAACCAAGTATGAACTGCTAAGAGGTTTTTTTTAATAGTATATGCTGCTGCTTGCTCCATTTGCATTTGCTATCAACAAACATATATTCCTCAGCAGTCTGGTTTTGTTAAAAGCTGGAAGACTCCCATTGAGGGGAGCCAAAGGATTCTTTTCCCCTGCTTTTGTCCACTCCAGAAAGCTTTCTTTTGAAGCATTTGTGGTGACTCACACTGATTGAAAACAATACATTTTCAACAGCAATTCTGTGAGTACCCATGTAGTGCTTGAAGAAATAACTTAGTTCCAAAAGGTGTTCCTTTTCTCTGAAAGCCCGATACATGTGAACGGTCAAAATGTAAAATTAAGGCATCTTGTCTAGATTGACAAGAAGGAGGTAGGACTTACTAAGTGTTTATAGGAATAACTTGCCCCTACTTTTGTTCTCTTTTCTTTGAAGAAATTTACAGGGATTTTTTTTCTGGAAATGACAGTAAAGCATTGTTAGATAGGACAGTAAGGATACTAATGAAAAGACTGTATAGCTTCAGTGTTTCTTAAGTGCCTTGTGGAAAGGATTGCTGGAGTCAATTTTGAGTGAATTTTGAGCCTCTCTCAGGCAATTGTAGTTTTCTGCTTCTAACAAACTCTTATTCGGTATTTAGGGAGAAAGAATGAGGTCCGTCAAATGAAAGAGTTCTCTGTCTTGTCAGATCGAAGAATGCGAAAGAATTTTTTTAAACAGTTATCGAACAGTCTAAATATCTACTATGAAAGGCCAGTAACCCTCATACAGGGGGACAGGATTTTGAGAAGAAAACTGTTTGTCACCCAGTCTCTCATGAATGCCCTGGAAAGATGTAGCTGCTGATACTGTCAGATGATGCGGTGCCTGGTGTGCTGTAGGCACTCCATCTATCCACTTGGGTCCCATTTTGGAGGCACACCCACATCGTCTTGGATTTTATGATTTGAGCTAAATCATTTGGTCAACCTTCAGCTCAAAGAAAGCTTGTACAGTTGGCTGCTGTGCTGTGCGATGCTCATTTTTCTACTGGTGTGGAAGCAGATTCCCCAGATGCAGTTGGCCGGTCAGCTGTACTTAACACAGAGGAGAAAATCCTTGTTTCTGAGGAGTCTGTATGAATCACCAGGCTCTAGCAGCTGTAGGAGAAGGGCTCTTACCAGGTAGAGGGGAGAGAAGAAAGGCTAGAAACCTCTCAGCTTATGCACTAAATTGACATCTGGTCCTATGTGGACTATGTGCGGGACATACTATTTTGACTATTGGTAGATTCCAAATTGTAATATTTTTTAATTACTACGGAGTTATATAGCATGCTCTCAGGGGGAAGAAAAAAAAAAGATTAAGAATTGATTTTTGTCTACGCATTAAGACGACTTGACAGGAACACAGTTAAACTGCTGAGAATTGGTTCATATCCAGCTCAGGGTCATATTCCTCCCTGAAGTTTATCAGCAAAAGATTCATTGACGGTACAGATGTTTCTCTCAGCATCTAAAAGGCATGCTTGACACATGGTAATGTTAGTAGGTTTGGTGAAATCTGGAAGCACAAATTTCGTCTAAATGTTTTGTGAAAATGGCCCTGAAAATGTTTGCTTTCTAACGTGAAGATAAAATAATACTTCATTTACAAAACACTATTGAACAGAAGAAAGAAGAATTAAGTTTCATGAAGGGATTAGGTTATTAACCCAGGATACGAAGTATGTGTCTTTCTTTGTTCCTCTTTATATTTCCTCTGCCACCTTTCTTTGAGCCTTTCCTTTTTGGCTTGAAGTCCTTCACTATAAAAATACTGCTATCGTAATTCATGCTTCATTTTGTCAGGATAAATTGGTTGATGACTATTAAAGTTTACAGTACTGTGATAATAATGTGTAAAGGGGAAGCTCTCTGTTCGCCCACCAGACTGGCATAACCTTCTAGAACAACATTAGTTACAGTAAGCAGCAGATATGGTTTTTCAGTAAAAATAGGCAAGAGCATTGGTCCTGTAGAAATATATTTTGTTCTTTCAGCTATGTGTGATCAAAGAAAGACTGGAATGAGACACATTAACACACTCTTCTGTTTCCTTCCCAGAATTACAACAACAGCTGCTTGTATGATGGACCTACGGAGGTATCCGCTGGATGAGCAGAACTGCACACTGGAGATTGAGAGCTGTAAGTACTTCTGCAAATCCTATTTATTCTGTGGTCAGCTGCTTCAGAGTTTTTATTTCTGTCTTTTTTTTTTTCTTTTTTAACATGCTACTAACCTAGTTGTCTTTCCATCTGATGACATTTAGATCCTTGTAAACACATGTGAAAAAATAGCTTTCCAGATGGATTAGTAATTTGTGGCACAAGGATTAGCAAAATTTATTCTGTGTTTTGATGGACAATTTACAGCTTTAAAAGTCTCATTCAAATGCCTTGTTGGAGTTCACGTGAGGAGCATGAGGATTACTGCTGAACTGTGTGGCAGCTTGTTTCCATTTATAAATAATGGCAAGAGGTTAGAATTGTCCTTGAAATAGGTGTTTTGTGGGTTTTTTTTCTAACCCCTGTGCTGTAGTTAAACTTTCAACGCATGCAACGCAGTCTGTTATATATACTGATTTAATAGCTGGTGACTCTGTCAAACTTTCTATGTAGATAAAACTTGTGAAATAAAATTTCAAATCTCTTTTCACTGAAAAATCTTCAGGGAATCTAAGTACATCAGAGAAAAAACAATTCATGATCACTTTTATAAAGACAAAATTGTAAGCATGCATTATTTGGCACTCTAGTTAAGATCATATCAGCACTTTGAAGATACATTTCCTTTTTCAGGATAACCATAGGTAATTCAGCTGGGGTGTATTATTAAGTTGAATGTGGCAAGCAAAATGGAAATCAATGGCATGTTTTAAGACACAGTACACAAAAGTATGTGTATTTTTAAAGTAACTTCTGTATTATAAAAGACTGGGATTTCTGTGTGCACTGAAATACAAAATGATAGTAGCTTGTGCCTACAGTCTGGTAAGAACTTGGTAGAGCTGAGCTGCTTCTTCCTATTCTAGAAAGCATTTAAGAATATGCTTTAAATTTGTGTCCAGGATTCATTCATTTTAGTGTAATTTAAAGATATGCCAAAATCCTTTCCTGAATTAAAGTTGTGACACTGCCGTCTGAAATAATTTACACACATAAAATAAGCAAAATGGGTCTTTATCATTAAAGTTCACCCCTTCTCTATGCTGAAACACACAAGTGGCAAATGTGATGATGGACTTTGCTCTTTTGAGAATGGATAAAATATTGTTGTGTGGTTTGTTGGGGGTTTTTTCAGTTCTTTATAGATTTTCTATTGATAGCATTTGATTCAAAATTTCATACCTGCAGCCTTTTACCAGTATAGTAGGCTGATTTTAATGTGCGAGACAACTACTGGCATAACGGCATTCAGGTTTACAGAGTTTTTTACTGAGAATGTGGCTTGCTATGCCGGTATCTTTTAAATGTTGTTGTAGCGAGGACCTGGAATTTTTCTTTTGTCCAATTGTGTGTGTAAGGTGGAAAGCTGGAGAGTCAGAGGACACCCTTTCTCTCTATTTACAGCATTGTTTAAACAGTCAACAAAGTCTTGCCATCTCTCCGCATTGCTGAGATGCCTGAATCTTCTTGGGTTTCACAAACTAGATATCCCCTGCCTGTCATGCTTGCAGGACCCACTCTGGGAAGTATTCCCAGGAAATACCTCCCAGGTCAGTCCTTATGCAAAACTGAAAATTAAATTACGTCCCTGCTTTTCAAAGAGAGCACTTGTTCTCGTTCAGACTTAGAATGTGGGACCTCTGGGTTGAAATTTCCCTTTCATCTGATTTGGAGTAGAAGCTTGAAGCCAGATCAGTTATCTTTCACAACTGCATAACTTTCACAGATAATAGTCTTTCCTGGAACAGTACAGTAAGGTCTTTCTCTTCCTCACTCATTTTCCAGCAATGGGTTCTAGCTTTTGGTAGAATTTTTTTTTTGCATGGTAGTAAGAACAGATGACTTGGCATTTCATAACACTGTTCACATAAATCAATGTTCTTAATATTGTTACAGTCCTCAAGGTTATCCAGTTCTTGCTATCTTTGTTCTGATCATCCTTTGTCGTAACAGTGCCTGCAGATTTTGTTTCATTAGAAATTTCATTAACACACAAATACTAAAGAATATTAATGCCAAGAAGGAAGAGCTTTGCTTATAATTATTCTCTGTACTGAGCATGATCTATTCTTTCAGTGCTGTACAATTTCCTACACATCTTTTATATATCTTTACTAATTGTCTGTTCTTAGATAGTTCTATATCAAATGTTTTAATAAAGTCCAGGTTAGATATACTTTGTTTAAAAAAGTAGTTATTGTCCAGCCAGATCCTTTGAGTGAAGTCATGATAGATTTTTATCCCATTTCCATACATGTTAATGTCTCTGTTCTTCCATTCTTTCTCCGCTTCCTCATTCCTTTTCCCCCCTAATCCTGTTACTGATGCCAGAGTTGATTGGCTGCTTAGCTGCCTGGGTTACTTTTTTCCACGTGTCACTGTGTTTACTGAACTTTGTGGCCAATATCAGATGTTTGTTAATCTAGATTTGCATAAATCTAGTTTAATTTACAAATTAGAAATTATGGTGGAAAAGGGTTGTATGTAAAATAGAAAAAATGAAATGGGGGAGGTGGTATGATCTATTAAGATACAAGAGACAGCATTTTTCCTATTTCAGTCTAAGTTAGTGTTAATGAGATTAGATGCTGAAAGTATGAGAGGACTATTCCATGTTAGTTCAAAGAGCATCAGTTTTGAGAACTGAAATCCTATTTGTTCACGTATAGCTAGTTACATCTCTGTCATCATTTTTTGCTTTGCTCATCCTTAAAGGGCAGAACCATGTTGAATGTTTGCTTTTGCTATGATGCTTCTAAACCTGTAGGCCATATTTTTCAAGGAGGTCTAATCTGAGCTATTCTACTTCTCCCTTTCTTTTGTTATTTCCCAACACGCTGAATAGCAGGGTTATAATACCGGAGGGAAATCAATTTTCCTGTGTATTCATTTCTTAGTTTCCCAACTTGCAGGCAACAGAGAGCTTTTTCCTTTTAGTTGAATATTGACTTGACTCAGTAAAATACCTCTCCTTTCTGCTCCCTACCTCTGCCGCTGCAGTGTGCATTGCCGAGTTTCTGATGATGCTCTAGAATAATTTTGTTCCTCTGCTGTTTCCTGCCTCTCTGGAGTTGTGACTGTTGAAAGGAATGTCTTAGCTAATCAACCATAAAACTAGTGGGAGCTCAAAGGCAAAAAGGAGTACAAGGGAGTTTGAAGAATATTTCTTATTCTTATAAACAAATAAAATATGATATTGCACATCCTCTAGCATAAGAGAGAGAAATGATTGTGATTCTTTTGAATATTTATAAATGTAATCATTCAAGATTCATCTGGTACATTTGGACCTTTGTCCATTTCAATTATGTGGTACCACATAAAGACAAAAATTCACTTCAATTCCTTCTTATTTCATAATGTGTTTGGCATAGCTATATTTATGTTATCCTGAGGTATAATTCAGAAAATGCCTGCCTTGTGACAGTGATTTTTATTTTTTTCCCATTTGTGGAACAAACAAGAACACACCGAGTTTCTCCTTAGAAGCATATTCTCAGAAACATTTTCCATAGTGTATTAAAGATGTGGCATTAAAAAAAGTGCATTAAAGCCCTGTTGTCTGAAGCCTTATCAAACAGGGAGCTTGCCACTCAGACGTACTGACTGGGGAAAAAGGGCAGAGTCAGAACAGCGCGCACAGATGGGGAGGAAGGACTGCTTTGCTGACGAATGAGAAATAATTGTTTTCAGGATATTTCATGTCTATAACAGCCTGCAGTGTTTGGATCAGAAATCATTAGATTTTTTTTTTTCTGTTTCGTGACAAAAAGGCCACAGAAGCACACTAAGATAAGTTAAAAACTTCCGTTCGATAACAGAATCTAGAAAAAGCCAGAAAGAACAGAGGTGAAAGAATATCATTCCTCCCAATAGCAGTGCAGCTCAGTATCAAATACTTTCTAATCAGATCATCTGAAAGCTCATCAACAGGAGAAACAGAAGTCATCTTTGTGTGCTCAAGGTGACTTTACAAGCACATTTAAGGCACTGAAAAGAAATCAAAGATGCCTTTTGCTAAGCCTTGAGTACTTTGCAGATGGCTGCTCTGGCCATCGATCAAAGTTATAATCAGGTCACACGGGACAAATGGTAGAACTCCAGGAACCGACCAGGCAAGGATTTTCTGGGTTAGAGGCGAATGTGCTTGATGCCAGGCAAGAGACTCTGCCGATCCCCAGGGAGTGGGGTGTTCAGCAAAGGAGGATACCACGGGAACGTGTCACTTCCAACAATTCACAGTAAGTGGAAAGCTAAATACATGACTTCTGGACCACTGAAGGTTAGAATCTTAATAGTTGTTCTCTGCTTTTAATTTTTTTTTTTCTTTCAGTTTATGAAGTTTAGCATGTGTCCTGTCTCCTTTGTCCCTTCAGCTAAGTCTGTTTTGCATAGTGGCTCTTGTACAGGGAGGATATTCCTCTGTCAGTAGAAGCTGACCTTATCAAAGTGCCCCGTTTCCCTCCTTGTTCCTCATCTATATGTTCGGATGTCTTAATTTGGATTCTACGACAATTCAACCTGTGCAGCACTTTGAGGGGGAGGAGACATAGATTAATAAACAGTGATGGATTTCACCTCTGTACCCACACTCCGTCCATTTCAGCAACATCAGCTTATAGTGTGGCTTCCTCAGGACAGGTACTGTGTTCTTTATTTGTCCTTAGTAATTTCATCTGAAGTACGTTGAGAAGAGCAGAAAAGAGGTATAATTTCAGTGGCATAATGCATACTGGCAATGAACAGGAAATCCTTGACTCCTCTTAAGTGTGTAGATAGGATGATTCAATAAGGGCTAAACAAAACCCCAACAGTAGATGATTCTTCTGGCTAGTCTGAAGAGGGGAAGGAAATTTAGACTAACCACCAGCACGTATGATCGGGGCACATTGCATAAAAGTGAACCAGTGTTTGTAAGGTTTTGATAACTCCCTTCCGCCCCCCAACCAGGGACTTCGGTCAGGCTTTCAGACTGGAAC